GGCCATATATTATCATCCCATGTTGTTATACTTTTAAAATAATAAAGCTATAAGTGGATGATGCTGATCTATTGGTCGTAACGCTTGCCAGTAGGTTACGTCTTACACCATTACTTTGAATTAAACAACCGGATATTATCACTAACCCTCGCATCGTCAATGTGGTTCAGAAGTAAGCACACAAACATACTTACTGACTTACGCCTGTTACTCCTCGTGGAGGAGCATAGGCCGCTCACCAGCATTCACCATCCAGCCATGTCGTTAGCGATCCTTTTCATCTCTTTCCAGTTGTTATTCATCCTTTTCATATCTGCTTCTATTTTCCGACGTAATGTGTTCATTGGTCTTCTTCTTTTCCGTTTCCCTTCAGGATTCCAAGTCAGCGCTTGTCTCGTGATGTAGTTTAGTGATTTCCAAACATGTACTCGGTAATTTAAGTTAAACATGGATTAAGTGATGGATGAAAATTATTTACTGAACAAATGCCCTAGTACGGCGGAGAGTGGAGACAGTCAGCTCTCCCTCTCGAAATGCTTTCAAGTAGCCACGTGCATACAACTACTAACAGATAAGTCCTGCTCACTGCCTTCTCGTGGCAGGGAGGTTGATTAAGAAATTGAGAGGGCGAAAAGTGAATGTCCGGCGCTCTAACTGGGTTGGTGAATACGGAGGATCCACCCAGGGAAGTTGTAAAACCCTGATTCCAAACTAATGGTGCACATGGGCTCCAGTATCCTGAAGGGACAATTGGCGTATGAACCAATCATTGGTCAATGGCTACCATGGGACTGCATCTCCTTACGATGCTCCACTGCCTTGTGTATTAGACCATTATGTCGAAGGCTCTGGGTGTGACCTCCTAAGAAACGATTGTTCCAGCCAGTATAGCTCGACTCGTTCATCACGATAGGCAAGCTCGACCACCACGTCAAGGTGGCAATAACGGTCGGGATTCAATCCAGATATCATTCCAACTTGTCATTATTAATCAAAACATTTGTATTTTGCATTTTAGGATTTATCTTCATCATTGAAACCATCACAAATACGTGAATTATTACATTTAGATGAGATAACAACACATCATTGGTTAATTCTTGGTTGTAGTGCAGTTACTGGGGAGAATTTACTAGATGGTATAAATTGGTTACTTAAAGATGTATCTTGTAGAATATTCTCATCAGATTAATTAATTTCTATTTCAAATCGCTTTCGTTAGAATTTACTCTCTTTTTTTAAAAAGAAATCAATTTGTGTAATTACATCATCATTATTCAATTAACAATGTTTATCATAATTCCTTATATATGAAAATAACATTGGTAACATGATTTTGTGCGTAGATAATAAGCATACGATATGATTGTACACATTACTTATGCCTGTAAATATAATAATTATTCCAAATATTATTTCTTTTCCGTTCATGGAAGACCTTTAAATGACGTTGCACTGATCTTCATAATGTCCATTTACTTACTTACTTACACTTGTTACTCTCAATGGAGCATAGGCTGCCGATCAGCATTTTCCAACCCACTCTGTCCTGGGCCTTCTTTCCTAGTCCTATGCAATTTTTGTTTGTCTGTCTCCATTTCTCAACGTAATGTGTTCTTTGGTCTTCCTCTTCCTCTTTGTCTTTGAGGATTCCAAGTGAAGGTGAGGGCTTGCCTTGTGACTTAAACTTACAGGGTGTTTATAAACTAGTGTGAGAAATCAGGATTAGGATTTACAGCTGTATGTTAGGGTTAGGAGTTGTATTTAGGGTATTTTTTAACATGAGCTGATATAAGATATAATGTCAAATTGCTACATAGCAAATGAATGGATGACTTTCGCGCCAAAATCTAATACATGTTATCTTAAATCTGATTGACTCGTTCATAAATTATAGTTTCACCAGAAGCGTATATACGACTGACACTTGCCGCATATACCATTGAAGGTTATCTTGGGTCTACTATCGATGGTTTCACTTACCACTGAATTCATGTAAAAATTGTTTGAGGCCTGTCGTTCGTGGAGTTCTTCGCATTGGTCGGTTTTATAGGGTTGCTTCAGTACATATAATTGGCATCACACCCCAATATGATTCCAACATAAATTCATCCACGGGCCTTGCAAACTATGACAGCAAAATGCACCACAGCTGTCGCTGGAGAAGTTTCGTATGTTAAAAAATTAGTCTCTAAATGCTTGAAAAACAAGATTTTGTACCCCATTAAGAGCTCATTTAAGCCATGGTTTATTAAAGATTTTTGGTCGAACAAAACACATTGCCATCAAGCACCGTTAAAGGGGCTCGACAGAAGACAATCATTCATTCTGGAGCACATGTTTAGACTCAAATCCTGCTCTAGTTCGAGCACGTATTTGACTGCGCCTTATTGGACCTAGAAAAGCCATGATAAGAAAAACCACTTAGAGTTCAACTTAGTGATGAAAAAGTTAAGAATACACATAAGGAAGAGAAGTCAGTAAATCATGAAAGTGATATCCACCCTGAGGTAACTTGGAGTGATAGATCAAAATAGCTGTGGGAACAGCAGTGATATCTACTAGTAACATGAACCAATAGGTCAAGAAAAAACTAGATTTCAGCGGCATTTACTGGACTGATAGATGTTAGGGAACTTATTCCGTTTGGCTCCGAACACGATGTGCGGAAGCAACTTAAACGTAGGCTGATAAAAAACCTACATAAAGATCGTGAAAAGTGATGGGTAGTGGAAGCAGAAGAGATGGGAAAGGCAGCTGTGATAAGTAACAGTAGACAACTGTTTAGACGTTTCAAGGAAACGAGTATTAATAAACCGGCTGTTAGTGAAACTATCTCGGAAAAAGTTGGGACTATTATTCACTGTCAATCCAGAAGACTGAAGCAATGGGCAGAACATTTTAGGGAACAGTCCAAGTGAATTTTAGTCACATTTCGGTTCCCCATAATGCCAACCTGAGTTACTTGTGTTGTGGGCGACAAATCCATCTTTCAAACGACGGCGGGTTTACTGTGCAGAAATTCGCTCTGTTTTATTTTATGGATGTGAAACATGGTCATTAAGAATAGGAGTTAATCGTAGGCTGATAGAATCCGATCATAGGTGTCTATAAAGCATTGCTGATGTATTTTGTGATTACGGAGAAAGTAATGGGTGGGTTAGGAATAGAGTACTAGGTAAAGATGGGGTATCGATTGATGAGGTGGTAAATCTTCAGCAACTGAGGTGGTTGGGCCGTGTTGCGTATCCCCAACCACCGCCTATATCGACGGACGACGTGTGGCAGTAGGCTTCAAGAAAGCTAGAGACGGGCCAACCAACACATGGCACCAGTTCAGAAAGACACTGACGATTGGACTTATCCATGTTAATAGGTATATACTACCTGGTCGAGTGCGCGTTGTTAGTTTAACCAATGGTTATAGATTTTGAATGACATGGCTCCAAATCATCAACAATGGCTCAGTTGCATCCATTCTTCGTCTTCCCTCAAATTTTGAGCTTTTGAATTCCTCGTCGTTTTATATTTTTATTTTGCAAATTTATACTTTATTTTCGAGTCATATCGTCGATGCCTAGTATTTTCTATTACCAATGATACTGTTACTACCTCCACTATTCTGGGATATAACGTGACAATATAATTTCTGTGCTAATAGGGTATGGCAAATTGAATTGATGTACACACGTATCACGTTCTACGTTGTGACAGATTAACTGAAGGAGAATAGGAGACAATAATTAATGTTTATAGTGTGAAGTAGTCTTTTTTGAGCTGAATGGTTTAACTGAGAAGCTTTTAATGTTTTTCTGGACATCGTCTCTATCAGCAGTACTGTGATATGTGCTATGTGTACGGACAGATATAAGTAGTATGCACCATAAATTCGAAGTAGGATTCTTACTGACAGAAGAAGAATAGGATAATAAACATCAATTGAGATTTTTCGTTATCTATCAACTAAAAGATCTATATTAACCGAAACCAATAAACGTTATCAAAGATCTTCATGGAAATGCTTCCTTTCAAGGTTTTACACAAGTTGACCAACCTACTGATGGGTAAGAAAAGTTGAATGATTAACGGAGTATTTGAACAAATGAATATTGAATCATAGAAATAAATGTGGCCGCTGAAGCCTAGGGTAAATACCACTAAGCCAGGGTAAATGCAGTCCAACACGAAGCCAGGTGCATTCTTCATTATATATTTTTGGTTCATGATAATTATCCTTCCGTAGGTTCACCTACGGAAACGTTGTTACAACTTTTACTTCATCTAAATGGTGAAATTAGTTTATCTCAGCACCAGTCGAGCGGCAAAGACACTACAACAAATAATCCAGTGACATCACTAAGCCATTCAAACGGTAGTAGCAACGGGTGGTGTGTTTAAAGGGTAGGGACGCAATCAGATCAAAGTTTATGACTTGCACTTACCAGGAGTTCCTCGTTCACGGGGAATAATTACAAGCCCCGATCCCAGTCACGACTGTGATGAAACAATTTGCCAAACCCTTTCGGGCCAGGTTTCCAGACTCGTTGGGACTGTCATTGTAGCTGACGTGTGGCCCCGGACATCTAACGGCATCACAGACATGTTATTGCTCAATTTCGTGCAACTTGGGTATGCTGCTTGTCCCTCTAACAAGTAAGAACCAGCGGATCACGATCACACTACACCATAAAGAAGTTATAGAATCCGCGCCGTAAACGAGAACGGAGGATCAGTCTATTATTTAACAAGTTAAAGTCTATTTATTATCGAAATTAACCAGACAAATCGCTTCACCCAACTAAGAAAAATCCTGAAGAAGTTCAGACAAATTTGTTGGACGAAACATTGAAATTATTTAAATAATTTTAAAAAAATCTTAAAAAAAAAATTAAGGTATCTCATTCATTGAAATGAATGTTTTTTTTTCACATGAAATATGATCATTAAAGAAGAAAGAAAAAAAAATGAAATGAATTTGTAAAATATACTAATGATCCGGTTCAACCTCTTGAACGTGATCGTAAATTAACAAGATCTGTTGATAATTTCCGATCATTTCTATGATAATTTATAATACCGATTTTTTTATCATGTAATAATTCACCAACAAATTGACATTGTTTTAATTTTTTCATTTCATCATTATCATTTAATGTCATATCATTTAACCATTGTTTCCATGGTACAATAATTTGTTTTGGTGGGATAATTAATTTTGGTTGATCTTTTTTATTATTTGGATACCATATTAATGATTGAGCAGCATTACAATGTGGTGGATTTATGGCGGATAATGGTAATTTTTTATTCTTATCTAATATAATTGGTTTTTCATACTGGATATCATCAATATGTTTTAAACGTTTCCCAATTGGTTGATATGGATCTAATCTGATATGTAATTCATATTGCCAATGGATTGTATTTAATATATATAGATCATCTTGTTCAATATTAATTAGATTATATGAATTCCATTTATAATTTCGACCATGTTTTATTGCTATTAACCATACCAAAAATTGTTGTCTTCTTATGATCTCAGTTAATTGTACATTATTACTGTTACCATGAGAATATGGTAACTGCCATGCAATTGTTGGATAAAAATAATCTTTATAATGTAATTGAATGAATTTATTTGTTATATAACCATGATGAATTACATAGTTACTATTAAAACTATCATAAAATGGATATTGATTACCATCACTATCATTAATCATTTGATGTCGTCCTGTTTTAATTGGATGAAATTCCCATAATGTACTACCATAATTATTATAACAATTTTCTATATAATTTTCATAACATGCTTGTACTAAACCAATAGTCCAATATTGTTGATTAGTTATACAATCATCATTTATCATTAATTTAATATGACAATGAAAATGTTGACTTTTATATTTGAAGAAATTAGATTTTTCTATTATTTCTGTTTTACTATTTGGATCATAATAGGCATCAATAGATTGAACATGAATTTGATCTAATGAAAATGTTGACATTGATACTTTTAATTAATTAATTAGATCTTTTAAATGATGATGACGATTTCAATGATCAGAAGTTCTTCTTCGTTGTTGTCGTCGCCGTCGCCGTTTTCTTCTTCTTCTTCTTGTTACATTAATTCATTCGTTCATTCATTGATCTATAGTTACTTTAAATGTTTGTTATTGATTAATAATGATAGATCAATAATCAATATAATCTATCGTATTTGAACAGGACGAGTTAATATGAGAAGTTAATGAAATGTAGTTCTTTTCTATTTTATTTGATGAAAAGAATTAATTTTACTACTATTAAACAAGTGGTTTGAATGCCTGAACATTAATTATCATCACACACACACAATGTTGATTAGTCTGGGGGAATGGTTGGAAGGAAATTAGGGGGAGGTCAAACTAAAATGTGACATCAGTGTTTGAAGTCGCTAACCTCTAGTCTGAGTCATGTTGGTAGATGTAGACTACTTGATTGAGGTTCGCGTGACTATCGTAACCAATGGTTGGAGATTCTGGGTGACATGTCTCAGAATCGATCACAATGGCGTCAGTGTGTACAATCTTTGTATCTTACTTTCTACAAACTAATTCCTTATTCTTGTACTATATCCTTATATACAGTCTTTTTTGTGCATATTACTACAGTTGAAGTAACTACTTCTATGAACTTGGTGATCATTTTGTTGTACTAATGAGGTGTGGCAACTTGGACTGATGCATATATGTCGTATGTTGTAGCTGACTGACTGGTGTAATGGTTAGAGGAATTCATTTTTATATAGTGAATTGGAAGTTTAAATGTATTGTAAAAATGATGTGACGTTTTCCCACTACAATATCATCTGCATGCTCAAGGTCGAGAAGTGTTTCTCCATGCAACAGAACCACACCACCATTACTTACATCCATCAGAGCTGTTTTCAGGATGTCATCGTTAGCAAAGTTGAAGAGGAATGGTGAGATTGCATAACCCTTATCCCATTGCTTGAATGGAACAGTGGAGATGGGCGGTTGTATGCGCTTCAAGAGTTGGAGTTATTTGCGGAGTTCCGCTTCTTTCGGTGGATCAGTTGTCACAGGTCATGGAAGGTACGATAGTCTGGTCGATGTTGCCGGGGCAGCAGACAAGTTGAGGTGTTCGTCGAATAACTTCTGGTCGTCCAAGACGTCGGTAGATGTTAGTGATTGGCATCCACAGATTGTTTTGCTCACACCAGAATTCTGGCCGCAAGTGACTCGGATAAGTTGAAAGAGCTCCCGGCAGTTATCAGATGCAGCTTCGACTTCCAAATCGTCGACACGTTCCAATCACCAGGCCTCTCAGTCCTTACGCAACATTTGCACAATCTCATTACCCGAAAGGCGTCGTTTGTGGTCACTAGGAGTGAACCGATGCGTTGTAAGGAGCATGAAGAAAGCCAGTACTTACAAGCTGAACGTTCCGCGAAGCCTCGGGCCACTTTACTCGCCATTTTCATGGCGTCATGCAGTTGAAACCAATGCTCATCTATAATTTTCGGTGGAATGGTAGCTAGCCTTGAACCTAGCTCGGTTTTATGTTTAGTTTCGACAGAAGCTGCAACCAACTTGCTGGCATCGATCCATTTAGGACGATGAATTTCTTGGCTACTGAAATGTAAGATAAGATTGGCGCAGACCAAGGCATGATCAGAGTCCAGATAGGTACTCCAAAAGGAGCGGCAGTCTTGTACACAACCGCGCCAGCGGTAGCTGATCGCGATGTGATCAATCCCAGTCCAGGCTTGAGATGCAGAGAGAGGACGCCAGGTGGCACATCGGCGATGACTGTGCCGAAAGTTAGTGCTAGCCAGAAACAGGGTGTTGTATATGCAAAGTTGCAGTAGACGGTCCCCGTGATCTGACCTGCAATGAACAAGTTCCCATCGACCACCTAAACGACTCTCTTCTGTGCCTAGACGCCCGACCTGAGCATTCAAGTCTCCGGCTAGTACTACAATATCTGTCAAACGCACTACCTGTGAAAGAATGGTTAACTGGTGGTAAAACCCATCCTCAATCACGTCCTGGCTAAAATCTGTCGGAGCGTATGCAAAGATATCGTTTCTCATACTAATTTCTTCGTACTTTTATGGAACTTTCTAATCTAACAGCACATAACCGACTGTTAATAAGGATTCAGTCAGTCATTTCTGTTTCAGTGCGACACTAATATCAGCAAAACTAGGGTAAACGCATGTAAAACAAGTATTTAGAAGCGACAAATAGTGAATTTGTAGTGCACCAGACAAATCTATACTAAGCTTTCATTGATTGGTTATAATATCCATATTCTACACCAGTGTTGCGGCAAAATTATAAAACATTAAAAGGTAATTTCTATCAATTATCTAAATAAAAACGTCTACATAGATAAATGTTATTGAGTGGGAAAAATTTACCACTCAACTTTAACAGATTTAAATACTATGTGATAATGCTATACGAATACTAAATAAATAACGCTTCAATTAAACATAACACGATTTCCAAGTTCTGAATGAAATCAGTTTATTTTGCATTTTTAACAATATACTGATATCTATAATCATTACATAAACAGCCATAGCCTTAAAGCTGATTGCACATATTAGTAATTGTTTAATCATTTAATAAGTTGGCTAAAACCTCTATAACATTTCACTACCAAATTGTTTGTTTTACGAAGGATTTCCACAGTAAAATGTAAATCGAATAGACGTCACATTGTTATTCCTCCTTCCGATGTTTACCTTTTACAAATATGAACCTTTTTAATGGTTAACCTTATGTTTACACCCTTATTAGTGTGAAACGAATAAAACTCGAATTCCTTATTAAAAGTGTCATAATTCGAGAGAGAAGAAACAATGGATTATATATTGATTAGTTTCCGGGTAATATACAATTAAACAAAGAACAGTTCATCATGTACAATAAAAGAGTTTATAATAATACTAATAACAGTTATTGAAGAAGAAGAAGAGAAAAAAAATGAAATATACACAATATAGTTTATTTAAATTCTTCGATTCAATTTTTGATCATTTGACAATCTAGTTGATCTTCTAGAACTATTTACTACAGATGATGATGATGAGGATGCTGGAGATGATGAGGATGTTTCAATTTTTTTATGAGAATGTTTTAACTTTTTAGGATTACGACTACGTGAATTTGTTGTTGAATGACTTTTTACAGAATTATTATTACTATTGGTACTTTCATTGTCTGAACTTTGAAGGACAACTTTTCTACGACTTGTTTTATTGAATGGTTTTTTTTTCTAAATTATTATTGACATTCTTTGGATGACTATCTGCTATTTCAGTATTCTTTTTTGGTTTGATTTGTTTACTTGAAGGATTAGTATTAGATACTGCTGATTTTGAGGTAGGAGTTAGATCGCAATCAATTTCATCATCATCATCGTCGGAAAAATCCAGTAAGTTTTGATGTGATGATTTATCTGTAAAATATTTAGAACAATAACCAGTCAATAGAATAAATTAGCCGATAATGTTTTAATTGAAATCATGAACTGATGAATGTTAGACCACCACTGAGTGGCCATTTTATCCTAGTGTAGGATTCCTTGGTAGTTCACATTGACCATCCCGCAAGTGTAGCCGTGACCAGCGGGATTCAACCACATCAAATATGAGGTAGTTACTCACCGAAGACAATTGAGGATGGTCGTGCAATATCGTGGATTGATTGAACTTAGACATTAACACCGTTGGATGTCGGCCCAATAATCTAGACGTTAAGCGTTCACGCGTGAGACTTGATTTCGAGTCCCCCGTGAGGAGTCCCATACTAGGACGAAATAGCTGTTCAGTGCTTCCAGGGTTTCAATGGTGCTTTAGTATTTATTGGTTCATGATCTCCCCTACCGTAGCTGCTACCTTGACGTGGTGGTCGGGCTTGCCTATCATGATGACCCAACCGAGCTATAATGGCTGGAACATAAGTTCCTTTAGGTTCTACCATGACAGGCAGGTTGATTTAAGAACAACAAGACTAAAGGCCGCAACCCAAGGTCTGAGGGTGAAGTCGTACTGCTGACTGTAGAGGGGTGTGAGAATAGAAAGATGTTTCCCTCGGGCAATCAGTATCTGCAGCGATGCTGCCTTCTCACAAGGAAGAAGGGTTAGAAAAAGTCGACCATAAAAATATCACACCTCATGGATTTCTGTCTCCGGCGATGAGACCTTTTGAACAACAGATCTAACACGTTAAAACCTCCCACAAAAAGGCCGTGCGCAACCGGCCTCAAGCCATCGACGTGTGCTGTGACTTCGAAACGCGCATACAGGATCCGAGCAGCGTCATTCATTTTACCTCACTATATCAAAATAAAGAACTAACTCGATCCATTCGTGTATCTAGAAGCCCAAATGCTGCTTCCCGTGGCCTCGCTGGTGTAGATTCATAATCTCAATTAAAACTCAACAATTTCACAACTATATACTGATGAATAACAACATATATATAGAATGTTCAGAATACGAGGCAACTTTATAAACTATAACACGAAATAAGAATACTTGACGTAGGATAGAAGCAAGTCTTATAGTTATGAAATTCAGATTATTTTAAATTCTAAATAACAAAATAAATCGCCTTAGTCAATACTACATGAGTACGAGAACACAGAGTAAGGAATGTTTAACATGACTGTATAAAATGATTTTTTTTAAACACAGGCTGACATTAATTGAGTCAGCAATAAAAAGCAGGTAGCACTGTATAATTGTTTTGACCTAGTTTAGCACTCTTCAGTTAACCTGGTCCGACAAATGTGGCCTAGAAATTACAAACTACATACATGGTGAGAGAGTTACTAATTAAAACTGCTGAGTTGGTGACCAATAGTTTAGAATCTATAATACAGGGTAGGGTCACCTCGCGAAATCATCATATATTATCACCATTGTTCGTCAGCTTGCACTTGACAGATTTTGGTTAAATAAGGATAATGTAGAAACATTTTCTGGACT